CCAGAGGCGCTCCTCCTCCAGCGGGCCTCCTGTGTCTTCCTCGACTCCGTCACTCACTGACCAGGACATTGTTCGCCTCAAGCGTCTTCTTGCTTCCTCAGGCTCCTCGTCGACTGCTCTGCTGTTGTTGTGACTGCATCCTCTTCTTCACCATCACAGGCATCTACACACTCAGGTACATCTTCGTGGGTCCTGGATTCTGGATCTTCCTTTCATATGTCTTCTGATTCTTCCGCGTTGTCTTCTCTCCGACCTCTTGATTCACCTGTTAATGTTCTTACTGCCGATGGCACATCTCTTCCTGTTGCTAGTCGTGGTATTCTTTCCACTCCATCTTTTTCTGTTCCGAGTGTTTCACATGTTCCTCGCCTTACCATGAATCTTTTTTCCGCTGCCCAACTTACTGATTCTGGTTGTCGTGTCATTCTTGATACCGACTCTTGCTCCATTCAGGATCGTCGCACCAAGGCTTTGGTTGGTGCTGGCCCCCAGCGCCGTGAGTCAGAGGGCCTTTGGGAGGTTGACTGGCTTTGTGTTCCTTCCGCTGCCACAACTTCTGCCAGCTCTCATGCTCTTGCTGCCTCTTCATCTGCGTCCTTCCAGCAGTGCCATCATCGACTTGGTCACATCTGTGGCTCTCGCTTGTCTTCCTTAGTTCGTCAGGGTCTATAAGGGTCTGTATCTGGAGATGTCTCCTTACATTGTAATGGTTGCAGACTTGGCAAACAGACTCAGTTACCTTATCCTACTAGTGAGTCTGTATCTCAGCGTCCTTTTGACTTAGTTCATTCTAATGTCTGGGGTCCTGCTCCCTTTGATTCGAAAGGTGGTCATCGCTACTATGTTCTGTTTATATTTTATATTTTATTTTTCTTTTTCTTTTATGAATAAAAACTGATTCCAAATGTTTACGACAAAGGTACAACGTGTGTACAAAGCAGAAGCTACAACAAATATTATAAGAAATTGTTAATTCTGCATAGAAAAATGTAAACGTGATACAACGCATACCATGATGGCATCATAGTATGCGTTGTTATTGCTGCCTGGCAGTTAAGGCCCCCTATTTTAATGTGGACAAAAACAGAAATGCTTCAGTTTATGGTAGTAGGTAATCACTGACTTGTGGAGCCAGCCAGACATATGCACATGGCTAGTATTTTGTTTTAATGTTATTCCTACTCTTGTGATGCCTTCTTTGGGTATAGTTGACAGGCCTTCTCTTGAAGACTCCCAAAAGTACAGTTTTTGCAGGTCTGTTGCTGCTTCCCTTGACTGGCTGATGACATTTTCTTTCTCTGCTTAATACAGGCTGCGAGTCCTTTGCAAGTAAAATATGCTGATGGAGAGTTGGAGAGGCTGGGTATGGTTGTCAGTTTGCAGTCGTTTACTACAGAGTCTTTGTTTCAATATATTTTCTCGCTATTTTCTGGTGACAGTGAACAGGACATTCACATTTGCATTTGCTATGACTTTCAGAACACAAGCTTTTCATTGGAATGCTTCCAAAAAATGTAGCAGATACTGAATTGACTGATTTGTTTTCCAAATATGGAAATATCAAGGATTTACAAATTTTGAGAGGTTCACAGCAAACAAGTAAAGGTAAGTTATTGTGGAGAAGTTACTTTCCTGTTAATAGAAGCATAAACATCGCTCGACTCTGAAATGTCTATAATGTATATTTCTTAATTAACTTTGGTTATTGCAGCTGGATGCGCCTTCATTAAATATGAAATGAAGGAGCAAGCAATGGCAGCTATTGAGGATCTAAATGGGAAGCACAAAATAGAGGTTTGCTAAAATGAATTAGGACAGGAAGGCAACTTTTACTTGTTATTGCATTTATGCTGGTTAACATCGTGTATAGTATATATATCATGATTCTAAATTAACTATGCACTTACTTTACCAGCCGTTACAAACAACAAACCGTTCGATCACTCGTCCTGGCAGTCATAAAGTATTCTCTATTAGGTTTTGAAATCAGTTGTTTCCAGATTGACATACAATTGGTGCCCAACTTTTACTTTTACTCAATATTTCAGATAGTTTAATTATGTGTTTTCGTATTTAATTATAATGCAGAACTTGACTTGAATGATCACTTGATGGTTGTCATTGCTAGTATATTCCACATGTGGCACTGACTTATTGCCCTTTTATCCTACTCTTACCTTGGAGTTGCATTATATTAATCATCTGGGTATTTTCTCAAATCTGATTGTTAGTGCTTTGTATATGATTTCTTATGTTCTGATCTATTTTTTAGGGTTCTAGTGTGCCGTTGGTTGTCAAATGGGCTGATACAGAGAAGGAAAGGCAGGCACGGAAAGCACAGAAAGCTCAACTGCAATCTCCTAATATGCCGAATGGACGCCCAATGCCACAGTCTTCAATATTTGGAACTTTACAGATGGGATATATGCCTCAGTATAATGGATTTAGTTATCAGGTGACTTGTGATGTTCTCTAAACCTTGTTTGCATTACACACTATCATATCACAGGAAACTTCATATAATACCTGAAGTGTTCTGGTCCTATTTTGTTTTCAGTATAGTATTCTTTATAAATATGTTGTCCAGAATATGCCATTCACTGAATTGTATTATTTGCATCCCAAAAGTAATTTTCTCGAAACATATGTATCTGTTGTGGCTCTGATTGTTTCGTAGCTGCAAACAGAAAAGTGGTATTTATCTTATGCATTGGAAAAAGAATATTCATCTGAACTCTCCTAATTTGTCAGATTTACTCCTGAAAAAGCCACTGACAATTTAAATGCCTAAGTATTATATGTGGAGCTTTTCAAGAGGTTGAAATATGTGTCTCGACTAATCAACATTTTTACATGCACTGATCTGATATGGAATACAACTGTGATTTATTTGTGCGCAGCCTCCAGGGACATATGGACTTATGCAGTACCCTTTATCTCCTATGCAAAATCAAGGCCCCTTTCAGAATATGGGTCAGCCTGTCAATCAAGGGAACTCGATACGAGGAGTCAACCCTGAACTGTCCCCCAACTCAGGTCCTAGATCATTTAACCCAATGCACTTAGGCAACCCGTATCCAGCAGTACCTGGTATGCAGTACCCTGGATCCTACCCTGGTGGTCCGATGAACAATCGTCCTTTTGGGAATCCTCACAATCCCCTTAAAGTTCCAAGTGCAAATGTCAATCCTATCGCATTTAGTCCCCGTAGCAATGGCGGTGGCCAAACACAAACAGAAGGTTAGCCACATTCTATTTTTATCTTTACTTATTGTGCATGGGGAAATACCATATTTCTTCTGATAATAGCTGTTCCCATTAGTTAGCATGTAATTTCCACAAAATGCCATGTGTACTTGCGATGAACATTGTCTTTTAACGTTTGTGTCACAAGAAATGAACATTGTTACGTGTTTTAACAACACGCATATAAGGCTATCTGAAGATGCACACAAGAACCCATCATGAATATTTAACTCTGATTGACAACTCTGATGGTGGGTGTAACTGTTTTGTTCTATGAACTACTTCACTAATCAATATCATATTACACAAACCTTTCTTTTTACGTAACCTTTTATTGTGAAGTCTGTTACATTGTAAAACTTTTGTGCATGCTTCAGGCCCTCCTGGAGCCAATCTATTTATCTACCATATCCCACAAGAATTTGGGGACCAAGAACTCTCTGATGCCTTCCAGAGGTTCGGTAGAGTAATAAGTGCCAAGGTGTTTGTAGCAACGGGTTCCAGCAAGTGCTTCGGTAATAAAATCTCTCACTCGCAGACACTCCCTCACGCATCGTGCACAGAATCTATTAAATCCGTTAATGTGCACCTATTATGTTAAGATGTTCATTATTAATAACTTGGTGCAGGTTTTGTGAGCTATGACAACCCTATCTCGGCGCAGTCAGCCATCGCCATGATGAACGGTTTCCAGCTAGGTGGCAAGAAGCTGAAAGTACAGCTCAAGAGAGACAACAGCAAGCACAGTAAACCTTTTTGACAAGAATCATCCGCGATGACCATGTGATCCTGTTCTCGGTACATATTTGTCAGATAGTTGACCGTGACGCTGATTGTTTCCCCTCTCAGCCATGTATCTTGTTCGTTGAGTCCAAACTCTTGAAAAATTGTTGCATTGCGTAATTTTTATGTCAGCATAGTCGTAGCATTTGGACCGTCAGATCCCTTGACGCATGAGAATTCAGATTCATTCAATTGTTACTTTTTCTCCCGACAAATAGCCCCTGACTCACTTGAACTTGTTTTCTCGAGTGATAATCACGTCATATCCATGCAAATACGATGTCAGGAAAGTATTTTAGACATGACAAGAGATACACGGGAACATAAATTTTCAATTCAAACAAGTGTGCAAATTGGTGCTGATAATTAAGAGACTAAAGATGGTAATTTTATCCATGGGTTGGGATAATTTCATAGACAGTTATAGCCATTTGCCACACATTTTGTGCAGGACACCATGCTAGTTCATACAATGGCACCTTTGGAGAACTCTTGCTGCTTTTCTCCCAATTTTAATGAATTGACAATTGTTACGTATATTGGCTGGAGCCTGTGTGACGACAGGTGGTAGTATTGGGCTGGATATTCTATATGAACAAGATTGTGTAGCTTTCTATTGTTTTCCTTGATAAAGGCATTGTCGTGAGATTGCTCCCGATATGGGTGAAAACCCATTATCAGGCCTTAGTGGATATGGCAACGACAGATAACTCTCGTGTGTCATAACCGTCTCTATTGCTCGAACTGTGATGCTCTATTGTGTAACAGCGAGGTTACATGTAGAAAGAAACCGCCTTATATTTAGCTGCCTTCAAGATATCGTGCGCCAACCGAAGCCAACCCAACCCAAGACACAACAAACAACTGCTTGTGGCAACCACTGAAGTACCGAGGCAACAATAACACACAACTACTCCTTCCGTCCCATAATATAAGAACATTTTTTTTGAAAGGAACACAAGAGCATTCCATTAACAAGGCAAGCTGGACTCACCAACGACAAGGTTTTTTACATCCCTAGGAAGTGGATCGAGCCATATCTGATAGCTCCTCCGCTCCATAGTTACACCATGAGCAGCTAAATAGTGTGCAGGAATATTACATGCCCTTGGACAAGTTTCTACTTTACAGGATTGGAAGGATGATTGCATCACTGCTCTAATTTCTTTAAACACTATGCCTAGACTCGAGTAGTCATACAGGTCACTTGTTATTGCTTGTTTCAATACAGCTGCATCTGTCTCCAGGATGACTCTTTGGCACCCCATTCTTGACGCCTCATTCACATCATATAGCATGGCAAGAGCTTCAGCGTGTAGTGGTTCTCCAACATTTTCCAAGTTCCCTGCTCCTGCAACTAGTGTAATTCCCTGATCATTTTTATGGTAAAACCCCACCCACCCAAACTAGTTGCCTGTCTAAAGGCTCCATCCGTATTGATTTTAAGAAAGTCAACAGGGGGAGGGTGCCAAACCTGGTTTATGCCCTGCAAATTTTTCTCATGTCGCTTGATGTATTTTTTGTACTCCAACAAATGCAGTTGTAGTGAGTATATGACTTCATCTGCAGTCCTGATCCTTTCTCCTTGATTAGCTTTGTTCCTCTCAGACCACCATAACCACAACAGGATGCAGATCTTTAGACATTTTTCCTCTTCCATTTCAAGGATGTCCTCCATTGTCGAGATGGCATTCGGACAATTTATAAGTTGCATCCGACATTCTTCTAGTAAAGCAGTTCTCCAAACAGCCTTGGCAAATTTACACTTTAGGAAACAATGGCCTCCGTCTTCATCTAGTCGGTGGCATATTGGACATCATGTATCCACTTCCATTCCTCTTTTTTGTAGTTTCATTCTTAGTGGAAGGCTGTTGTTGGCTAATCGCCATAGGAAGTGTAGGATTTTGTTGGGCAGGGGTAACCTCCATAGTTTCTTCCAAAAAGTGGCCTGACACTGAACATTCTGATTTGATGACGAAGCTACATCATGTGCAGAGTTCCTGGCTTGTTTGTTCAGTACTACTTGATATGCAGATTTAACTGAGAATTTACCCTTTTTGTCAAAATGCCAGGCTGGTGTATCTACAGCGCCCCCTTGGATCGGGATTTGCAGGATTACTTGTACATCTTCTTCATTGAAAGTTTGTCGGAGCAGTTGTATATCCCATGTGCCAGAGGTGGGGTCAATCAAGTCTGAAACCTTAGTAATAACATGGCTGCCTTGCTGGGATGTTACACTTCTGGAGATGCCCCTTGGTAGCCAAGGGTCTGACCATATATTGATAGTGCATCCATCTCCTACTCTCCATATGATTCCTCTTTGTAGCACCTGTACGCCTTTCAAAATGCTTCTCCAACTATATGAAATGCCATCCCTTGGCCTCGCTTGTAGCAGATTCTGGTTTGGATAGTATTTCGCTGCCAACACCTGTGCGCACAAAGACGTTGGGCTTTGTAACATTCTCCAAGCCTGCCTTGCTAGCATAGCTAAGTTGAAGGAGTATAAGTCTCTAAATCCTAGCCCCCCGTCCTTTTTGGGTTTTGTCAGCTTATCCCATCCGACCCAGGGGATTTTATTTTCTTTATCCATTTGACTCCACCAAAACTTCCCAATCATTGAGCTAATATCATCACATAGAGATTTGGTAAGATCAAAACATGCCATTGCATAAACAGGGATTGCTTGCGCTACAGCTTTGATAAGAATTTCCTTGCCGGCCTTCGAGAGCATTTTTTCTTTGCCACCTTGTATCCTTTTCCATACTCTTTCCTTGATATACTCAAAGGCTTTGCTTTTTGATTTACCAATATAGCATGGTAAGCCCAGATATTTTCCAGAGAAGCCTTCGGTAGCAATGTTGAGTTGATTCATGAGCTCCTCTTTGTCCTCACGCTTTGTATTCTTGCTAAACAATATGGCTGACTTCTCCTTATTTATAACTTGGCCTGAGCAAGCTTCGTAAACATTCAGGATTTGATTCAGCTCATGGGCACTGTTGGCATTTGCTTCCAGGAGGAGAAGTGAGTCATCTGCAAAAAGAAGATGACTTATGCTTGGGGCTGTTCTACATATTTTGATTCCTTTTAACCTCCCATTCGCCTCAGCGTTTTGTAGCATGGCCGATAAGCCCTCAGCACATAATAGAAAGAGATATGGAGAAAGGGGATCACCTTGGCGAAGCCCTCGCTCGGGAATAATTATCTCTGTGACGTCCCCATTGATCTTGATTTGGTATTTCACCGTGGCGACACAGTTCATCACCAGTTTCACCCATCTTCTATTGAAACCCAATTTCAGCATGATTTCTTGTAGGAATTTCCATTCAACTCTATCATAAGCCTTGCTCATGTCGAGTTTGATGGCAGCGTATCCTCCTCTTCTGCTCCTCTTCCTCTGCAGAAAATGAATCATTTCATATGCTAAAAGAATATTATCAGATATCATGCGTCCAGGCACAAATGCGCTCTGGTTGGGGGATATTATTTCAGGCAATATATTCTTTAGTCTGTTGGTGAGTACCTTGGCTATTAATTTGTAGACCACGTTGCAGAGGCTGATGGGTCGTAATTCATTCAGTCTCTCTGGTTTAGGCATTTTTGGGATCAGAACTATTATGGTATTATTCCATTCTTCAGGCATCTCCCCACCTCTCAACACCTTGAGCACTTCCTTTGTTACTTGTTCCCCTACAGTGTTCCAGAATCTCTTAAAAAAGATTGCAGGCATGCCATCAGGTTCCGGGGCCTTTAGATCACCAATATTATTCAGGGCAGCTCTCACCTCTTCTTCAGTATATTCTGCACAAAGCAACTCGTTCATTTGATCAGTTACTCTAGGTTGAATTGATTGCAGAATTGTGTTATTGTCGTGCCTTGCCGCCGAGGTAAATATATTAAGGTAATAATTTGAAATATATTCATTTAGTTGCTCTGCCTCTTCTACCCAAGTCCCATCTTCTTTCTTCAACTTTTGGATGGTATTACGTTTTTTCCTCTCGGATGCACATGCGTGGAAGAAAGCCGTATTTTTATCTCCAAATTGCAGCCATTTAACATGGGCTCTTTGCCTCCAGAAAAGGTTGTGTTGCTTCTCGAGTCGATCCAGCTTATCCTTCAGTACATGCTCCCGATCGACTTTGTCTTGATTTATTTCACTTCTTCTGACCATTTCTAGCTCCTCTTTTAACTTCTTTATTCTCCGTTGAAGGTCTCCTAGTATATTTGCATCCCAGGCTTTTAGGTCCCTGGAAACACTTTTGATGCCTTGAGCCACATTGCCACCGCTTCTGATATTTGCAGTGTTCCAGGCATTGGTGACAATATCTTCACATTCTTCTTCTTCCAACCATTTCGCCTCAAATCTGAATGTGTTTCTGTTTCCAAGCCTTCTGGATTGCCTCTTGGTGCCTTCAATTGAAATGGTGACCGGTCTATGGTCTGAATGCCTCGGGTCACCGTTGGTGACCTGATATGAAGGAAAACGTGCACACCACTCCCTAGTTGCGACAGCCCGATCCAATCTTTCTTTAATGTAAAATCTGGCTTCATGGCTATTATTTCTCCATGTATACTTGTCACCAGAGTAACCAAGGTCACGTAATCCACATTCTAATAATGCCATTCTAAACTTCTCCATTGATCTTTGGCTACGACCTGGACCTCCTTTTTTCTCATGGCCATACAACACTTCATTAAAATCTCCTGCACACAGCCATGGAAGATTGAGTTGTTGGTTTAGAATTTTTAGTAATTTCCAAGTATTATCCTTTTTATATGAGGAAGGTTCACCATATACGCCAGTAAACCGCCATTTGTATCCGTCTTGGTCCACTATCTCCACGTCTATGTGATATCTTGAGTAGTTGTGGAGTTCTGCGTTGACATGCCTCTTCCACATGAGAGCAAGACCACCACTTTTACCTTCACAATCCTTCACTATCATTTTTGACATTCCCAATAAGTGTTGGAACCATTTCATCTTTCTCCTCTCCATTTTTGTTTCAGACAAAAAAATGATATCGGGGTCTTCCTGCTTCTGGAGATCCAGAAGCCCTCGAACTGCCGGTCCATTCCCCAATCCCCGGCAGTTCCATACCGTTATTTTCATTTTGACTCGCCGGGCTGTCCCTGCAACCCAGCGCTTCCACCCTCTGGTCTTTTTCCTTCTGCAACTTGTTTTGCACGAGCTTCTTCCTCTTCTTCGCCATCAACCTCCATCCTTGCCTTCTTAAAATATTCCACCTCATCATCGAACTCCATGTATTCGGCAATCCTTTTCTTGGTTCCCACAACAACAGGAACACTATGTTGCTTCCCTTTAGGTTTCTTCACCCTTCTGAGTGTATTCTGCTTCTCATTTGTTTCTGACTCTTGTGCCACCATATTTTCTTTTTCTTCCCTTTGGACATTTTTACCTCTTCTGTCATGAGCCCTCTCACTATCACCCCGTTGGCATGATTGTACTGCTGCCTCATTAGTCACTTCAGACTCAAATCCTTCTTTATGTTCCTTTTTTGAAAGAGATTCAAACTTCCTCTCATCATATACTATTTTCTTGCCCCCTGTAACTTTTGTTTGATCCTCTAGTGTGATTTTGAGTGGGCTGGTATCACCTCCTTCTCCCCTATTAATTTGCTCATCACCCTCTATGCTTGACAGATTTTTGCGCCATGAAGGACCGTCGCTACCTTTGCTACCTGCGCTATTATTCCTCCAGAAATTACTACGGTCACTTGATTTCTTGCTCCTCCCCTCTTCACTAGAACCGCCCTTAAATATTAAAGCACGCATCCATGCCCCAAATTGTCTTCCTTCTGCTCTCGCACCTTTTGTTGGGCATGCTCTTTCATTGTGACCAATGATTCCACAGTTGTAACAGAAGTCGGGGAGATGTTCATATCTAAAAGTGATAACTTTCGTCTTTTCTTTCTTCTTCTTCTCTGCATCACTCTCTTCCTCTTCCATCTCCTCCCTTTCTTGTTCATATTCTTCCTCTTCATCAAGATCCACATCCAACACTTCTCCTACCTGATCGACGGACTTGTGATATCTATGCGTACTTTGATCCTCATATGCTCTTACCCAGATCGGAATCTTCTTAAATTCATACTCATCGATGGTCTTGCTTGGTATGAAATCTTCCATAACTAACAGCTCCTTATTGAATCTCCAAGGTCCATTGTTCAAAGCCTTCCTTTTCCCCGCCTCATCATGAAACGAAAACATAAATCGGTTCCTTCCTAACTCTTTGCAATCCACTCCCGTGAAGGGACACCATACTTCCCTTAGTGTTCTTGACACATGCTCCGCTTTTGCAGGTCTATCAGACGGTAGCTTACCTACTGCTTTTAGCTTCCCTGTAGCGGATGAACTAGTCAAATGAGTGCTGATTCTTATACCTTTCTTTTCTGCCTCAGAAAGCTTCAGATTCCTCAGCTTCCCCTCAACTCCTTCAATTTCCCTTGCCTCGTCTCCTTTCATCTTCAGGTCGCGCCAGGCCGTACCACCGAAGCAGAGCCCCGCCTCCACACGCCTCCTGTCTCGCCTCCGCCTCAGCACCAAAAATCTAGTGATTTTTTGGTGTATTACAGCCTCCCACCCCAGCAAAGCTCGAGAGGCTGATGGGTGGAAGGGTGGGTATGGATTTCGGTTTGGATGTATGGGCTACGCAAGATCAAGGGATTTGGGATTCCAGTCCTACTCGCTCACAGGGTTCCTGCGGAAGAATCTCCGAGGGTAGGCAGACGAACTGCAGATCGAGGTGCTCTCCTAGGATGGGAATCACTAGCTTTGCTGGATTGGATTGAGATTGGGGACACCCACGCGAAATCACGGCGGATTTTCCGGATTCGCGAACACCACGCTTACTGTTCACCAGAAGCTACTGGAGCCGTCACGCGAGGGACGGAAAGAACAGGAGCAACGTCTTCTTGTGCACAAGGACATCTCGTAAGTTACATATAAGAACATTTTTGACACTAGTGTAGTGTTAAAACGTTCTTATATTTTGGGACAGAGGGAGTAACAAATAAGCAATTCGCAAAAAAAAAAAAAAACAACACACACACTAACGACTAAGCAAGCATACATAAGTACAAGGCTCTAAGCTATCCAAAAAATAAGCAACGACCAATACAACAAATCCAGTTCATGCAATATAGGCGAGGTAGTACTTATTCAGTTATTTGCGCCACAAGACATGATAGACCAAAATATGTTGCAACAAAATTCTGACAAGAAATGAGTTTATGTATAAGACCCCACCCTGGGACGGTGGGACGCACACATTACGCTGGATGAGGTTGAAACCCGTGGCCACGTTTCTGAAGTCCAGCAAAAGATTATTGCTTTAACACATGCTGCACAATCAAAATGGACACAATGTCATCATCATTTTGTATAAGTACCAGCAGCAAGCAGTGTGCAACAATATGCGATGTTGATTTGTTTAGTGAGCTTAGACTTTTGCAACTCATATGCTTAACATGTACTCCCTCCGTTCCCAAATATAAGTCTTTTTAGATATTACAACAAGTGACTATATACGGAGCAAAATAAGTGAATCTACAGTCTAAAATATGTCTACATACATCCGTATGTTGTAGTTCATTTGAAATATCTAAAAAGACTTACATTTAGGAACGGAGGGAGTACCAATTAAGCACAGTAAGCATAACTGACAGGCTCCTTACCTTGTAGATGGTGGCATGACATTGTTCCCAGCACTGGACAGCTCGGGTGCAGCCTGAGGTAGTTGTGAAACCATTATTTTCTTCAAAGCTGAATTGTGCTTGTTCATTGAACTTGATTGGGCTGAATGGGTTATGCATACCTTCTGCGACATACTCTGCACTAATTCAACTTGATTGAACTCCATGGATGATGCCTTCTCACATATTGGTCCGTCTGCCGCCACATATTTCACAGTAGACTCGGTTTCGATAGGATCAATCCTTCTAAGAAACATAACTTTTGGTCTCTTAGGATGCTTCTTCGCCGCAGTTTCCCACATTTCTACCGTTTTTGCACTGACCATAGAATCAAGAGCAACTTCCTGCAAGCAATGATGGTATTCGATCTTGATGCCTGAAAGATCAATAAGATCTTTACAGAGCAGCTGAAGTGAGACAAGATGTGGCAGAGCTCCTTCTCTGATTGTAGGGGGGACAGGTATTTGCACAATAAGGCATAAGCGTTGCAGGCTTGGGAAATCCCCTTTGTTTATGGTGAAGCCCCTAAGGTCAGCTTCAACCAGTTTGAGATAAAGCAAGTAGCGCATGGTACACAGGTTTGACAGATCACCCCCCACCAGATTAGTTGATGAAAGGCACAATGCCGTGAGCCCGCACAGGGATGTAACAAACTGAGGCAGTCGACTCAGCCGGCCACGCAGTTTTAGTGAGCTAAGATAACCATCTTCTTGTATAGAACCCAGGAAGTCCCCCGATGAATTTCCAAAATCAAGTGACAGAGTACGAGGAACGTCTGGTGTGTCCATACCATCGTCAGCAAACTTCTGAACTGCCTTTGAAATGTGAGGCATGCCCTTATTGTTTGCACCAGTGGATTCAGAACACCAAATCTTAACCTTTTGCAGTTCTTTCATATGAGCCATTAGTTGTAGAAATCCAGGATTTTCATCTGCAACAAAACCTGCAAGAGTCTTCAACTTACTTCTTTTTGGTAAGAACTTCTCTAGTTCAGCCACTTTCAGGTCCTTTTTCCCAAGCTTTAACTTTCCAAGCAGGTGAGCTAGGTGAGGCAACCCAATGACTTCTGCTGGCAATATCTCTATCTTTGTCTTCCTCAGATCCAGTGTCTCTAAACAGTGTAACTTGTCAATATTCCTGGGAAAGTTGCAGATGGTTCCTCCAAGGCTCAAATATTTTAGATGCCAGAGCTTATGCACGTCCTTTAGATGACCGTCCTCCAAATCGTTGCACTCTTCCAGATCCAACACTCGCAGCAGCTCGCACCTGCAAAACTCAGAAGCAGCTTCTCCCGCATTCCCAAAGATTGTCAGAGACCGGGCACGGAATTTTTCACTGCCAGATACGTTGTCACTTGCTGAACTTGTATGGTGGTTCAGGCCCAAGGTGCTGCCACTTGCAGGGTTCTGGATGAACAGGTGACGGAATTTACTTCGATTTTGATCACGGAGAGATGTGATAAAGTTATCAGACATGGACTTGTGCAGCATGAACTCGTGCATAATACCATGAGTTTTGCACGTCTTCACTTCTGTGTTGTTGCTAGCATCAATAGGCCGAATGATATTCCGGTCAATAAGTTTCTGGAAGTTCTCCTCTGCTACCTCCAGATCACTGAGTCTGTACCTACATTGTACATACCCTTCTGCTAGCCATCGTCTGATTAATATATTTTTTCTGATTGGATGACCATTTGGGAACACACTTGTGTACAACAAGGAGGTCTTCAGAGGATAGTCAGACAGGCCTCTGTAGTTATTTACAAGAACCTGTTGCAGTTTTGTGAAGTCTGCATCCTTCTCCATATGAAGGCCGAGGTTGCGGCAAACTCGCGCACAGTGACTTCCTGTGGGCTCATTCTCGCCTAGCAAAAATTTGGCCACACTAACAAGGGCAAGTGGAAGGCCATCGCACTTCTCCACGATTGCTGTTGAACCCCGCTCCAATTCAGGTGAACATCCTCGGAAGAAAACCTTCTTCATCAGCAAAGCCTTGGAGAGATGTGCATCAAGAACGCTCATCTTGTAAACATAACCATCACCTGAGCTGCAAGCATTAGCTACTGACTGAAGAGCCGTGGTTACAATGATTCTGCTTCTTGTTTCTCTATGAAAAATAGCTTTTACGGCATCCCAGTGTTGCTTGTTGATGTCATCGATTACAATTAAGCACCTGGCAGACAAATGAATAAGTTATTATATCAGTCGGCTGGAAGAAATTGGTTGCCAATGCACCGATTTGCTGTATGCAGCTAAAACATGCATAAGCAATCAAACGTACATACAGTCAACAACTGTTTATATGGAGATAACAGATAACGGACCTAAGATCTTCCTTTTGGAAACAGAGGGGCATGACACTGTTTTTGAAGTACAGAGCTGAACTTGTGTTTATGTGTGTGTATGTGCGTGCGCGGTGCGCCTGTGGGAGGGAGGGGCGGCATGCAGTAAACCACGCCATATATGTTTTTACACCAGGTTTTTTTTAAGACGGTCGACTCTCGGACATGTAAACATAAGCGTGTATGGCAGCTAAATGCTCAACACAAGTTAATGTGGCAAATCAGTTTGAATGGTTGACTAATCTTCTGATACAGCTAACTACACCCTAAAAACAACAGGTGACTAAATCAGGCTTTGCATCCGTTTTCACAGCATTTCATTGATACATCTCTGTGTTAGAAACCCGAGACGCAGTCAATCATACGAGGACAAGCAATAACAACAATATGATACCGAGATCTGTTGAGAAGATTTAGCGTAAACACCCACATCCCCAAAGCATGACGACGGGCGCTCTTCCACATGTACTAAATCGACATCATATAATCAATGACAAAACCTGCCAAGTCCACCAGACAACATCTCCTATCACCAGGCACCAGCCATGGCCAGTCCAGCAACCCCTACCATGGGCCTTGGACACATACTCCCTCCGTCCGAGAAAGTTTTTCCCTCAAATGGATGTATCTAGCACTAAAGATACATCCATTTGAGGGACGGAGGGAGTATCTAACACTTTCTTTTCACTGAGAGTGGATCTCAAATGAAGCACCCACAGACTTTGTATGTTCATATTACAATTTTTGCAAAGTCAAAACAACACCGACCCATTAATATATAAGCTGTAAGTGTGCGACCGAAGTGTGCGCAAAAAAGATTTAGTGGATAAGATGCTCACTCTGTAGTCCGCAGAAAATCATCCATGGAATTTTGGGCCTTTGACTCATGGGCGGCGGTGTGGAACTGCCGGAGTATCGCGGTCAGGAGCCCATCGGCTTCCGTGTGCTCCGACCCCGCGACCCAGGCACGGCTAGGGAATCTCCGGACGACACCAGGACAATCATATACCGCCCTCGCCAGCGTCGTCTTCCCCGAGCCGCCAAATCCCACGATGGATATCACACTCAGATTGCCCGGCTCGCTGCCCAAGAGCAGCTCGACAAGCTCCTGCCTGGGCTTGTCGATGCCCACAAGGTCACTTTCGGGCACATACGAGGTCGCCGGGGGATCTGCTCCGGCGAAGGATCTCCCGCCGTTGACATCGTAGTTAACCCTTCGCTCGTGCGCGTCCTTGACCCTCTTCCTGAGCTTCCGGATCTCTGCCGCGAACCGGGATCCGGTACTAGTGACCGCCTTCTTGACGCGGTGGAGGACGGATGCTGCTCCCCCCTCGCAGGCGACGCAGGGCAGGAACCGATCTATGCAATCCTCGATGTCATGCGCCAGATCGCGCATCTCCTCCATGGACACGACCTGCGGCCGCGAGCTGGCGCTCGGATCCCCCAGGTGCTCGTCCATGTCGCCCAAGATCATGTCTAGCTCGGTGTGGATGAAACGGATGTCATCCTTGAGGCCCTTGGACAGCTTGTGCTTCTCGCCCAACAGCGTGACGAGCTTCAGTACCACCTCCTTGGTCAGAGCGCTCGCCAGAGCAGCCTCCATGCCTGCTACCCCAGCTCCGGTGACCGCCGCCAGATGGGAATATTGGACTGGAGCAAAATGAGGAAAAGTCAGCAGCCTAATTGACTGCGTCGGCAGGAGGTGGAGGTGAACGCTAACGATGGACGGGGTTGGTGGCGAAGGAGAGAAAGTCCAGCTAAGAGCATCTACACCCGACTCCAACACTTCCTATCTCTTTAAGAACATCTAGAGCCTAACTCCTCCAACACTCCCTATGTCTTAGAGCATCTACAATCGGCTCCCTCAAACCATCTCGAATGCCTAGACGGACGGCCCATTTATTGACTAATCAAAAAGCCTGACCCAGGCGGTCTCCTCATACCAGCCCTAAATGCTCGAGTTCATCGGCATCCCACTTATCCAACCCAAATCTAGGGCGGATATAGGGAGGCCCGGGCTCATCTGCTACACTGTGGCCCACACGAAAACACTCTGACCCTTCGGTTCGGTGAATGCCTCCTCCGATTCTCGATGGTGCTGCTCCGGCGCGCCACCCAAGGGCCCTTGTCCGACTAATTAAGCCAGACGCCGGAACCCAAACCCTACCCCGTCCACATTACCCTCCCCTCCTATCCGCCGCCGCCGCCACATTCCACTAGCCATGCCCCGTAGCCGCAGTGGCGGTGCCAGGATTTTAATCATGTGCAGTCAACTCAATCTTGTGTTGTCAAGATATATGTATTTCTACAAATTTTGTATTATTTTTTGCATGATTTGTGCTTATATATGATACTTTTTCCACAAAGCTGTGTAGTCATTTGACTACACAGCTTATACATTGGCTTCGCCACTGCATAGCCGGGTCACAACCTACGCCATGCTCATGCCGGAGCACCGACTGCAGCTCTCTGAGCAGATCTGGGCTAGGTGTGAAGCTCGGATCGCCGCAGACCTACCTTTGGAATTGCCGGAGGAGGTGGACGCGGCCATGGCGGACGCAGAGCCGGATGAGGAGGCGGCGCCTTCGGTTGTGGGCTTTTGCATGCCTAAGGCGCTAGCAGAGCTCAAGGTGGCCCAAGCGGAGGAGGCGGCGGAGCAGCGGGCCATTCTCGACTCCATCCAGTCGGAGGCGGGGGCCAACTGCCACTTCCTCCGCTAGCGGCAAGTAGAGATCAATGAGGTGTTCACCGAGAAAGAGATTAACAAAAATGAATTAATGCTCTTATCCTCAGAGATTCTATCTATCTCTGTACCAACTCCAGCCATTTTTCCTTCTCTCTCAATCCCAAATCCTTGATAGACCAGGCCTCTAAGGGTAACTCCAGAAAAGTCGTCATTGAAGGAAATATGCCCTAGAGGCAATAATAAAGTTGTTATTTATATTTCCTTATATCATGATAAATGTTTATTATTCATGCTAGAATTGTATTAACTGGAAACTTAGTACATGTATGGATACATAGACAAACAGAGTATCACTAGTATGCCTCTACTTGACTAGCTTGCTGAATAAAAAATGGTTAAGTTTCCTAGCCATAGACATCATTTGATTAACGGGATCACATCATTAGAGAATGATGTGATTGACTTGACCCATTCCGTTAGCTTAGCACTTGATCATTTAGTATGTTGCTATTGCTTTCTTCATGACTTATACATGTTCCTATAACTATGAGATTATGCAACTCCCAAATACCGGAGGAACACTTTGTGTGCTACCAAACGTCACAACGTAACTGGGTGATTAGAAAGGTGCTCTACAGGTGTCTCCGATGGTACTTGTTGAGTTGGCATAGATCGAGATTAGGATTTGTCACTCCGATTGTCGGAGAGGTATCTCTGGGCCTTCTCGGTAATGCACATCACTATAAGCCTTGCAAGCAATGTGACTAATGAGTTAGTTGCGGGGTGATGCATTATGGAACGAGTAAAGAGACTCGCTGGTAACTAGATTGAACTAGGTATGAGATACCGACGATCGAATCTCGGGCAAGTAACATACCAATGACAAAGGGAACAACGTATGTTGTTATGCGGTTTGACCGATAAAGATCTTCGTAGAATATGTGGGAGCCAATATGAGCATCCAAGTTTCGCTATTGGTTAGTGACTGGAGACGTGTCTCGGTCATATCTACATAGTTCTCGAACCCGTAGGGTCCGCACGCTTAACGTTCGGTGACGATCGGTATTATGAGTTTATGTGATTTGATGCACCCAAGGTAGTTCGGAGTCCCGGATATGATCACGGACATGACGAGGAGTCTCGAAATGGTTGAGACATAAAGGTCGATATATTGGATGGCTATGTTTGGACATCAGAATGGTTCCGGGTGAGTTCGGGCATTTACCGGAGTACCGGGAGGGTACCGGAACCCCCCGGGGAGTGTATGGGCCTTATTGGGCCTTAGTGGGAGAAAGGAGGAGGCGGCCTAGGAGGGGGCGCCCCCCAAGCCCAATCCGAATTGGGAGGGGGGGGCCTCCCTTTCCTTCCTCCCTCCCTTTCTCCTCCTTCCTTCCTCTCCTACTCCTACTTGGAAGGGGGGAATCCTACTCCCGGTGGGAGTAGGACTCCCATAGGGCGCGCCATAGAGAGGGCCGGCCCTCCCCCTCCTCCACTCCTTTATATACGGGGGAGGGGGGGGTACCCCATGGACACACAAGTTGATCACTGATCTCTTAGCGGTGTGCGCCCCCTCCACCATAATCCACCTCGGTCATATCGTCGCAGTGCTTAGACGAAGCCCACCGCCGGTAGCTTCATCATCACCGTCATCATGCCGTCGTGCTGACGAAGCTCTCCCTCGACACTCAGCTGGATCAAGAGTTCGTGGGACGTCACCGAGCTGAACGTGTGCAGATCGCAGAGGTGCCGTACTTTCGGTACTAGGATCGGTCGGATCGTGAAGACGTACGACTACATCAACCACGTTTTCATAACGCTTCCGCTTACAGTCTACGAGGGTACGTGGACTACACTCTCCCCTCTCGTTGCTATGCATCACCATGATCTTGCATGTGCGTAGGAAAATTTTGAAATTACTACGTTCCCCAACAGTGGCATCCGAGTCAGGTTTATGCGTAGATGTTATATGCACGAGTAGAACACAATTGTGGGCGATAATAGTCATATTGCTTACAAGCATGTCATACTTTGATTCGGCGGTATTGTTGGATGAAGCGGTCCGGACCGACATTACGCGTACACTTACGCGAGACCGGTTCTACCGACGTGCTTCGCACACAAGTGGCTGGCGGGTGTCAGTTTCTCCAACTTTAGTTGAATCGAGTGTGGCTACGCCCGGTCCTTGTTGAAGGTTAAAACAGCACATACTTGACAAAAAATCATTGTGGTTTTGATGCGTAGGTAAGAATGGTTCCTGCTCAGCCCGTAGCAGCCACGTAAAACTTGCAACAACAAAGTATAGGACGTCTAACTTGTTTTTGCAGCGCATGTTGTGATGTGATATGGTCAAGACATGATGCTAAACTTTATTGTATGAGATGATCATGTTTTGTAACAGAGTTATCGGCAACTGGCAGGAGCCATATGGTTGTCGCTTTATTGTATGAAATGCAATCGCCATGTAATTGCTTTACTTTATCACTAAGCGGTAGCGATTGTCATAGAAGCAATAGTTGGCGAGACGACAACGATGCTACGATGGAGATCAAGGTGCCGCGCCGGTTGACGATGGTGATCATGACGGTGCTTTGGAGATGGATATCAAAGGCACAAGATGATGATGGCCATATCATATCACTTATATTGATTGCATGTGATGTTTATCCTTTATGCATCTTATTTTGCTTAGTTCGACAATAGCATTATAAGATGATCTCTCACTAAATTTCAAGGTACAAGTGTTCTCCCTGCGTATGCACCATTGCGAAAGTTCGTCGTGCCGAGACACCACGTGATGATCGGGTGTGATAAGCTCTACTTTCACATACAACGGGTGCAAGCCAGTTTTGCACACGCAGAATACTCGGGTTAAACTTGACGAGCCTAGCATATGCAGATATGGCCTCAGAACACTGAGACTGAAAGGGCGAGCGTGAATCATATATTAGATATGATCAACATAGTGATGTTCACCATTGAAAACTACTCCATCTCACGTGATGATCGGACATGCTTTAGTTGATTTGGATCACATGATCACTTAGATGATTAGAGGGATGTCTATCTAAGTGGGAGTTCTTAAGTAATTTGATTAATTGAACTTTAATTTATCATGAACTTAGTACCTGATAGTTTTTTGCATGTCTATGTTGTTGTAGATAGATGGCCCGTGTTGTTGTTCCGTTGAATTTTAATGCGTTCCTAGACAAAGCTAAAGTTGAAAGATGATGGTAGCAACTACACAGACTGGGTCTGTAACTTGAGGATTATCCTCATTGCTGCACAGAAGAATTACGTCCTGGAAGCGGTGCCAAACCCGCTGCAGGAGCAACGCCAGATGTTATGAACGTCTGGCAGAGCAAAGCTGATGACTACTCGTTAGTTCAATATGCCATGCTTACGGCTTAGAACCGGGACTTCAACGACATTTTGAACGTCATTTAGCATATGAGATATTCCAGGAGTTGAAGTTAATATTTCAGGCAAATGCCCGAATTGAGAGATATGAAGTCTCCAATAAGTTCTACAGCTGCAAGATGGAGGAGAATAGTTCTGTCAATGAACATATACTCAAAATGTCCGGGTATAACAATCACTTGATTCAACTGGGAGTTAACCTTCCTTATGATAGTGTCATTGACAGAATTCTTCAATCACTGCCACCAAGCTACAAGAGCTTCGCGATGAATTATAATATGCAAGGGATGGATAAGACAATTCCCGAGCTCTTCGCGATTCTAAAGGCTGCAGAGGTAGAAATCAAGAAAGAGCATCAAGTGTTGATGGTCAACAAGACCACCAGTTTCAAGAAAAAGGGTAAAGGGAAGAAGGGGAACTTCAAGAAGAACGGACAGCAAGTTGCTGCTCAAGTGAAGAAGCCCAAGTCTGGACCTAAGCCTGAGACTGAGTGCTTCTAC